TGAAGAATGTGTTTGTCGCCGCATCTTTAATACGTACGCCTGAGTTCCACAAATGTTTAAGCTCTTCCACCAACGTCTAAGGAAAACATCCATATCCTTACCTGGAGCTTTCGGTCCTGGAATCAACAAAGTCAACATGAATGATGACTCTTTCATACAAAGCCAGGGTGGCAGATTGTATGTGGTGAGTATGACCGGCCATGTGCTATGTGGATTACACATGTTTCCAAATGGATTGAAACCGTCAGCTGAAAGACCTAGGCGTACGTTACGGGGTTCACTCGAGAAGTCGGGGTATTTTTTATCAAAATCTTGCCAATGTTCCCCATCAACAGGATGAATCATCACACCATCTTCTGAACGTCTGGTACTATGCCAAATCATATTTTTGGCAGTGTGCCTCGAACAATATAAACGTCGTAGTCTAGGGGTCACAGGAAAGTACCGTAACACCTTATGAGGTACTTTCTTACCCTTGGTGTTTTTATCGATCCATCGGCTCTCTTTACAAACGGGACAAACTTGCAATGAATCATGTTCTTTCCAAAAGAACAACAATCGTTTTTACACACATGTATCGACTCATACCCCAGGCCAATAGACTTTAGTTTCTTCTTGGCTAGATAATGTGAAAGGGGAACCTTGTTGCCTTTGGGAAATGCTAATTGCAAGAGCTCAAGGAGTTGATCAAATGAACTATCAGTCCATTTGTTGTTCACCTTGATATGCATTAACTTTGCTAGAAACTCAAGGGAAGAAAAGATGCAACCAGTATACAATTGAGTTTCCATTTCCTCCAACAACTGTGCAAAATCATCATCCACACCGCTACCCCTTGTATTCGAGGTTCCTTCATCGAGGTTGGTATCATTTTCTCTCGACTCCCACATCACATCGTCGATTAAATCGGCCATTTCGTTACTTGGCAAAACGACGGGAGGAATAAAAGATTCACCATGATAGATCCAAATTTTGTACGCCTTACTGAAACCATTTATAAATATATGGCGTTCAACTACAGTCGGGTACTTGAAGTAACGGTTATCACATTTTTCACACGCACATCTGATTTTACCATTACTTAACGTGCAACTTCGACTTCTCAATAAAAGCTTTGAGTCCTGCTTGGAACTCGGGATGGTTTCGATATGGATTAGTAGTCCAGCTTTTATCAATAGACATGATGTTGCTGAAACATAATTTTGGGTTTAGAGTTTAGTATACAGAATTAGCATTGTTTTTTTTCAATCCACATTTTTTTACATCTAAAATAATACAAAAATTAAGTAATAAAGAAATGAAAAAATAAATTAAAAATTTTTATTTATGCATTTTTTTAATTAATTTTAATTAAAATTACTTGTAAGTTAGCTTGGGTAAAAACTAGAAGCTTTCTAGTTTTTGTATATAAGTTTTTAAACAATTTTATAGTTTTTTTTGTGTTTTTTTTTCAATTTATAAAAATAATGTATTTTTTTTTCAATTATAGCATCCTACTTATAAGAAAACCACATACTTTTACATACGTATTATGTTGTTGTGTTGTATTTTTTACCGTCGAGATTAAAATGTATATAAGTTTTTAAAGATTTTTATAATTTTTTTTGTGTTTTTTTTTCCAATTATAAGTTAACTATATAACTTATTGGTTAATTAATTTGGAGTTAGCTTGGGTAAAAACTAGAAGCTTTCTAGTTTTTGTATATAAGTTTTTAAACAATTTTATAGTTTTTTTTTGTGTTTTTTTTTTCAATTTATAAAAATAATGTATTTTTTTCAATTATAGCATCCTACTTATAAGAAAACCACATACTTTTAATACGTATTATGTTGTTGTGTTGTATTTTTTACCGTCGAGATTAAAATGTATATAAGTTTTTAAAGATTTTTATAATTTTTTTTGTGTTTTTTTTTTCCAATTATAAGTTAACTATATAACTTATTGGTTAATTAATTTGGAGTTAGCTTGGGTAAAAACTAGAAGCTTTCTAGTTTTTGTATATAAGTTTTTAAACAATTTTATAGTTTTTTTTGTGTTTTTTTTTCAATTTATAAAAATAATGTATTTTTTTTTCAATTATAGCATCCTACTTATAAGAAAACCACATACTTTTACATACGTATTATGTTGTTGTGTTGTATTTTTTACCGTCGAGATTAAAATGTATATAAGTTTTTAAAGATTTTTATAATTTTTTTTGTGTTTTTTTTTCCAATTATAAGTTAACTATATAACTTATTGGTTAATTAATTTGGAGTTAGCTTGGGTAAAAACTAGAAGCTTTCTAGTTTTTGTATATAAGTTTTTAAACAATTTTATAGTTTTTTTTGTGTTTTTTTTTTCAAATTATAAAAATAATGTATTTTTTTTTTATTTCAATTATAGCATCCTACTTATACCAAAACCACATAGTTTTACATAATACATAAGAAGGTGAAATTCACATACTTTTACATACATATACCACATATACATCAAATACAAATACACACAAAATAACATCCTATTTAAACCAAATACACATAATTTCACATATATATACATAATAACATCCTATTTATACCAAATACAAAAGTTTCATAATCATATATCACATTTACAACAAACATACATACATTCACATACACACAATAACATTCTACTTATAACAAATACATATAACTTCTACTAATATACCACATATACATCAAACACACATACATTGGAATATATATACCAAATTCACATATATTCAAACAAATACAAAATATACAATCCAATTTTCACATATGACAATTATCACATAATTTCACATATAAATACAACTTGAAGCTATACAACTAATTGCAATTAAATAACCACAAACAAAAAATTGAATAACTTGCTTCTAATCCAAAACAATACCACCAAAAACAAAAATATGAACAATTTATTATCATTCAATCACTACATAAAGCTACAAATCAAAATTCATACAAAATAAAAAAGAAATCATAAAAAAAAACTTACCTTTCTTCAACAAATGGAGGCACCTACAAATTGATCACAAAGCTTTAACCACTTGCTTGGAACAATGCTTCTAATCCAAAACAACACCACCAAAAATAAAGAACATGAGCAATTTATTATCATTCATACAACACAAAAATGAAATCATCAAAATAAAACTTACCTTTCTTCAAGAAATGGAGGTAGAAATTGATCCCAAAGCTTTAACCACACCTAGGGACACTTGCTTGGAACAATGAGGGGAGAAATTTGCTAGAAAGAAGGAGATTGAAGAAGAAATCGGAAAAATGGTGAAGGAACTCAAAGCAAACAGAAAGGGAAATGAAGAAGGTACTGTAATCTGCGTGCGTTTTTTTTTTTATCTGGGATCATCAATAGCGGCGACACCTTTAGCGGCGACGCGAGGTCAATACCGGCGACAATTGTTAATAGCGGCGACAAACTGGAGGGAAGGGTACCGCGTCATTTTTAGCACACAATTAGCGGCGACTTTTTTAGAGTTTTAGCGGCGACATGCGTGTCGCCGGTATTAGGTTAGACCGGATAAGGCACCCCACCCGTTGGATTGGATATCTCATCGAATGGTTGAGATGCAATGTAGGGGGAAAGTGCGGATTCGGGTGACAACCGTTTAGCGGCGACTATTGGCTTTACCGGCGACTCTAGCTATAGTCGCCGGTAAAGCCAATAGTCGCCGCTAAAAGTGTCGCCGCTAAAGGATATATTTCTTGTAGTGATTGTAGTTTAAACGTTCAGTTTATTCCTACCTATCAAACTGTGGGGGCGTATTCAAGTTATTATATTATTATTAGTTTCATTAACCCAATTTATACCCATGTATAGTGTTATGTTTAGCTTAATGTACCATGTATATATTGTGAATGGTTTAATGAAATCAACATGGGAAATTATGGGCTCTAATAGTTTTAATAGTTTTAGGGTAAATGAACGTAGTACTTAGTTCAATTATTATATTTGTTTGCACATGATGATCAAATTCCTTTGAAGTAGAATACACTCATCATAGTTCATGGAATCAAGAAAATACTAGTAAATGTTGTTATCAAGACGAAATCGATAGTGATGCCATGCCAACCTCGACACACCCCTTTATAGTTCTTCTACATACATTCCCCTTTCCAGCAATTCATTTTAATATTTGCATCATTACTTCATAAATAACACATTAAAGATCCAGTAATCCTTGTCACTGCAGAACCTCAAAGGTCACTGAGTGGGCCGGCGTTTAACCTTTTAAACTCCATAATTAGATGAACTGTTCAACAGGTGACGTTTTGCATAAGCTTAATGTGATGTATCGACTTGGATGGTGATCAAATTAAAGTATTGTTTTGAATAAATAAGGATATAATGGAAAACTTGTTTGGTGAAAGATGATGTTTTTGGGGGTAGGAAAAAGTTGGCAATGTAGTCTGCAATTATATTCCTACAGAAATCAGAAAAAACGTTTGAATATAGACAAGTAAGATGCCACCATTTCAAGCAATCATGACCTTAGACCAAATTCAGTCACATCTCATAGCTTCTGAAAGAGAGAACACGTTAAAATAATGCAAACAGATGGAATTCGATACGTCGCAATCGTTAGGGTTTTCTGAAAGAGAGGAGACAATGCTCTAATGAAGACAAAACAGAAGATAGGGTAGATAGAGAAGAAAATTAAATTTATCTTTTGTTTTCATTTTTTTATAAGATCTTAATCAACATGAAAACAAATCAAGATTGTATCTTTATGATTCAAGTTGAAGGGTACACGTTATGTCATTCATTTATATGGACCGAGTGACGGAGCCAAAAAAAAAAAGGATATTCAAGAAGTCTCTTAATTTTACTATTTTTGATTAATGAAATTATTTAAATTTTGATATAACATCACTAACTATTAATTAAACGTTTCTGAACCCATTTGTATCCGATTTGTAGATTTTCGAGGCATATATAAAAGCAAAAGAAAATTAATTATAGAAGTCTACAGAATTAAAAATGACGATATACACAGAAATTAAGTCAGATTTATTATTTATAAAATGCGAAGTCATACGTTTAACAGAATCTAAAGATGATACAGATGGATTAATCTGTCATAAATATTTGATAATTAAATATACTCAACATCGTCTCACCAGTTTTTCACTAATGGAGAAGAATCTAGTCTTATTTGTCGTCAATCATATATTAAATTGAAGAGAAAAAAAAAAGCATAAAAAATTAAATCTATTAACCGAAATAGGAGACATTATCGTTGGTGATGGTGCTGTAATCTGTGGTGGTGGACGGTGGGGTGTACATGGAAGAAGAGGAGGAAGCAGGAGGAGGTGGAGGAGGAGGCGGCGGTGGTAGAGGTGATGGTGGAGGCGGCGGAGGTGGTGGTGGAGTTGTTACAGGGACAGCGCCAGTAGAAAACAAAGCTAAATGATGAGAAGGAATAATATGATGATCATGGTGGGTTTCAGTATACTTGTATCTTAGAATCTCAGCTCTTACTGCATTCAACTCAGCTTGTAGAGATTGTACTTGATGTTGTAAAGCAGAAATGGCACCCATGCATCCGTAAACCGGATCTCTTAGCCTTACATTTGCTTCGTAAACAAGACTATTGGCTGCATCGGCTCTTTGATTTTCCGGTACTTCCTAAATTAAATATCGTCACAAGATAAACATTCAAAACCAATATTAGATCTATATTAATTATTAATTAACCAGAAATTAAATATATATATTTTTTATCTTTTTCCTACCCACATAAAATGTGACAAGTGTTATATTTAAATAAACTTAAGGACGTTTTAAGGCACTTATTTCAAATATATAAGAAGATAATTTGGAAGAAAAGTAGAAGTATGTTTAATTTCTCATAATTAATAGCTTCCAAAATTATCATCACAATTTGAACAATATGTTGGCCATAAAAAGATATTTATTATCAAGAAATTAATATTAGCTTGAAACTGCCACATACGATTAAAACATAAACTAACATATGAAGACAACATATTTCACCAACTTAGAAATTAATCTCTTTGCACAACATTAATTCACACTCAGAAAGGTTACCATGACACATATTTAATCCTTTGAAAAAAAAATATTTAGTCGGTGTGTGGAATATATGGAAGTTAGTGCTACACATCTTAGAGAAATTAGGGTTTTAGTATAGAACAGTCGACTTGTATAAATATGTTACAAGTTAGTGATGCATAAAGATCAAGCTACATCGATCATACCATGAGCAACTTGGAGACATTGCTGGCTCCGAAAACTTTGTGAACAGATGCAAACTTTTGAGGTTCATGAGGGGAAAAATAAGGTGAAAACGGGCACTCTTGAGCACATCTACGGCGTAATAGCTTACACGCAGCACAAGGAGTGATGGTGTTTAGGGTTCCAGGAAGCCCTAACATATGTCTCCTTCCCAATTGATATGATGCATCGATGTCTCTCTTGATCTTCTTCCCTATCTCATCAAATCTCTCCCTACAAAAACATATGTATAACAAACCCAGAAAATATCATATTAATAAAAAAAAACCAATATACCATGACAATAAATGTGATTAGGGGTTCTTGTTCCTATCACATAAGCGTTTATCATGAAATTTGTAGATCAAAGGAAACAACTTTAAAGACTACCAGAAGAGCTATTGTTCAATATTCATATAAGAGAGCTTGTATAGAGAGTAAGAGCTAGACCTTTCTCTGGACATTCAGGCATGCTATCTGCAGATGTAGCTAGAGAGAGATATATGGGTAGAGAGAGAGAGAGAGAGAGGGAAGGAAGGAAGAAAGGAAAGAGGGAGAGAGATTGTGAAGGGGAGAAGGCTAGAAAGAAATACTAGTTTTTGAAGAGGGTGGGTTTAAGGGGTGCTTAAAAGGCAAGAAAACCAGAAAAAGGGAAAATTAATGGAGGTGTAAAACAATATATAAAAGCCAAAAACAACCAATACATAGTACTGCTAGCTGTTACTGATGTACGAATGATAGGATTCAGTCCCACATAGTATCATTCAACTCTCTGCAAACATATCAAGCTTCAGTCTGAGTTATATGGAGGAGCATCATGAATCATTCATCATATCAATGGCTACTGATCAAGAAACTGGTTTGTAGAGAGAGAAAGAGAAAGAAATAGTATGATATAGTAATAAGGTGATCAGATACTTTCATCACTGTCACATCAGTGCGAGCTGCCCCCCCCCCCCCCCCCCCCTCTCTCTCTCTCTCGTTGCTCACGTGTGGATCGGAGCCATTTTATAATAAATTAACTGTTTTTTAACTTTATAATAACATAATTTAGCTTATCTTAGCTTCATTGACAAATTCCTTTTCTTTTCTTTTTTGGTTTTCTTTCATTGACCAAGAAGAATGAACGAATATGACCTTGTGTCGCTATTTATAGAATCCGTCCAATTCTAATTACATGGCATCGTAAGATCTCGATAATATGTCTCTTCTGATTCGAAAACCAACAATTGATAAACGACTCCCATACTTTAATTCCGTGCAGCTGACTTGATTCTATATGACATGGTATTTCAACCACGTCTAGCGATAGGTTTATTCAAGACACTTAAACCTTTAATTTACTCTTTTGCATTAAAAGATAGAATGAATAAACATGAGCATCAACTGGATACCAAGTTTCTTGTAAACTTCAAAGAGCACTTATTTTAATAATGAGTACATATTTTGGATCCAACCAAAATTAAATACTCCGTGTGGATTCCGCCATCGTTTTGACATCAATCATTCCTTTCCTCATTTACTATTGAGTAATATGAAATCCATACATTTTCAATAATAATCATTAAAAATGTATCCTCATTTACTATTGAGTAATATGAAATCCATACATTTTCAATAATAATCATTAAAAATGTATCTTAAAAAGTATATCATATGAAAAAACGTGTTTTATAATGTACACAACGATCTTTCTCCTCAAACAATAGAAAGTTGAAACAACATCCATTGTGACAAAATATGTATCTTTATTTCAAAGCTTACCCAATTACCCTTGAATATGATTCTCATTATAATTTTTTATTTTTTATTTTATTATTTTTTTTAGGGCAATGTAATCCACTCTCAAACTATTCCTTAATATCACCTATGTTCCCGATAAAACTTAAACCCTCGATCTCAAGAAAAAAAAAAAAAAAAAAACAACAACATTTGATACAGTTGGGCTACAAAAACATGACACTTTTCTTTAGAAACTACACATGAAATTTTTTCGTGGTTATATTCACACAGAATATGAGAATACCGACCGGTAACACTACAAGAAAATCACCCTTTAGCAGAGACGCTATTACCGATGACGGAGGCCTTTAGTGGCGACTCTAGAGATTGTCGCTCCTAAAAGCCCATATCACCAGTAATAGCGTCGCCGCTAAAGGGTGATCACCCGAATCCGTGTTTTCCCCTTCCGTTAAATCTAAACTGTTCGATCAAATATTCAATCCAACGGTTGGGGTCCCTTATCCAAACTAACCTAATACCGGCGACATATGTGTCGCCGCTAAAGGTTGAAATTGTCGCCGCTAATAATTCATTAAAAAATGACGCGGTACCCTTCCCTTCAGATTGTCGCCGCTATTGATAAGTGTCGCCTGTAATACCCTATTTGTCGCCGCTAAAGGTGTCGATCGTAAAGCCTCTCGCAGATCAAAATACGTACGCAGTAGACTTCATTCTTCCATATTCTGCTTTCTGTTTACCTTTGCCCCTTCCAACTTCTTCCGAGTTCATCTTCAATTTGCTTGTTCCATCCCGATTTCTTCCACATTGTGTCTTATTAAGGATATTAAGGATGAAGGTGTGATTTGGGACTGATTTTTAACTCAATTTCTTGAAGAAAGGTAATTTGATTTGATAATTTCCTTGTTAATTTGTATGTTAACACTGAAAAAGTGTTGATTAAATTTCTAAGATTTGGTAATTTAATTTGTATCTTACCCTTGCAAATATTGTTGAAGAAATTTGTGACATCTTGGATGGCTCCCATGTTTTGTTGGAGGATATTTGACCTTACAAGCAAGGAAACATCATCTTTACTGTCGATTTGTAGCTTCATCGGGTGAATAACAGTTTTTCCGGCTACATATCCATTGATTTCCGCCACTACAGGTTTTATTATTTCATTCTTTTGTAAATTTGGTATTTGTATGTGAAAATTGTCATATGTGAAAATTGTGTGTATATTTAATATGTGATGTTTGTGGTATATGAGTATTTGGTAGAACTATATATATGATATGTGAAATTATATATATTTGTTATAAGTAGGATGTTATTGTGTGTATGTGAATGTATGCATGTTTGTTGTAAATGTGGTATATGATTGTGAAATTTTTGTATTTGGTATAAATAGGATCTTATTATCTATATATGTGAAATTATGTGTATTTGGTTTAAGTAGGATGCTATTTTGTGTGTATGTGAATGTATTTGCATTTGGTGTATATGTGGTATATGTATGTAAAAGTATATGAATTTCATGTTCTTATGTATTATGTAAAAGTTTATGGTTTTGGTATAAGTAGGATGTTATAGTTGGAAAAAAATTATTGTTATAATTGCAAAAAAAAAAAAAAACTAAAAAAAAAAAGTTATAAAATTTTTATGATCCTATACACATATTCATGTGTGTATTGGATATTTTTTGGGGGTTTGAACTTTGAATGATTATCCCTTTTTTAAATCATGTCATTTTAATTATTATGGTAAAGTGTTAAGAATCACGTTTTAATGTTTGAATAAATGTGAATATAATAAAATTATAATGATTATTTAAAAACCAAATTGTCAATATGTACTAAAACAAATATGATTTTTAGGAAAACGATAAAAATTACTTATCAAACATGTCTTAAATACTTTTAAGTCATATTTCTTCTTATTAATAATTTTATTAATAATAAAAAAATAAGAATAAAAAATTGCAAAATAATATTAGTAACAACTTTACACAATAAGATTATTATAACTGACAAAAATAAATCAGCACTCTAAAACCAAAAATTATTGCTACAAACTCTTTTTAGTAATTAATTTTTTAGTGATTAACTTTTCCAAAATCATCCAACCCTGAAATAACGTATTTATATATGTTATAAATAAAAAATATATTTTTTTTAATCTCGACGGTAAATTACAAATACTAGAAAGAACAACATATTTATAATGTTATAAATTATATATATATATATATATATATATATATATATATATATATATATATATATATATCGACGGTAAATTTAAAATATATATATTTCAAGTTTCTACCCAAGCTGACCCCAAATTAACCAATAAGTTATATAGTTAACTTATAATATTCAAATTAACTTCTAATGTTATATTTCGATAGTTTGATATTTATATTTAATACTTACAACTTTTTCCTATATAAATTACAAGTAATTATAATTAAAATTAATTAAAAAAAAGCATAAATAAAAAATTTTAATTTAATTTTTAATTTTTTTTATTCTTTTAATTGTAAAAAATGTGGATTGGAAAAAAAAAACAATGCTAATTTTGTATACTAAACTCTAAACTCAAAATTATATTTCAGCAACATCATGTCTATTGATAAAAGTTGGACTACTAATTCATATTGAAACCATCTTGAGTCCCAAGCAGGACTCAAATCTTTTATCGAGAAGTCCAAGTCACACCTTGATAGTAATGGTAAAATCAGATGTGCGTGTGAAAAATTTGATAACCGTTACTTCAAGTACCCGACTGCAGTTGAACGCCATATATTTATAAATGGTTTCAGTAAGTCGTATAAAATTTGGATCTATCATGGTGAATCTTTTATTCCTTGACTCATCTTGCCAAGTAACAAAATGGTCCATTTAATCGACGATGTGATGTGGGAGTCGAGAGAAAATGATACCAACCTTGATGAAGTAACCTCAAATACAAGGGGTAGCAGTGTGGATGATGATTTTGCACAGTTGTTGGAAGAAATGGAAACTAAATTGTATCCTGGTTGCATCTTTTCTTCCCTTGAGTTTCTAGCAAAGTTAATGCATATCAAGGTGAACAACAAATGGACTGATAGTTCATTTGATCAACTCCTTGAGTTGTTGCAATTAGCATTTCCCAAAGGTAATAAGGTTCCCCTTTCACATTATCTAGCCAAAAAGAAACTAAAGTATATTGGCATGGGGTATGAGTCGATACATGTGTGTAAAAACGATTGTTGTCTCTTTTGGAAAGAACACGATTCAATGCAAGTTTGTCCCGTTTGTAAAGAGAGCCGATGGATCGATAAAAACACCATGGGTAAGAAAGTACCTCATAAGGTGTTACGGTACTTTCCTGTGACCCCTAGACTACGATCTTTATATTGTTCGAGGCACATTGCTAAAAATATGATTTGGCATAGTACCAAACGTTCAGAAGATGGCGAGATGCTTCATCCTGTTGACGGGGAACATTGGCAAGATTTTGATAAAAAATACCCCGACTTCTCGAGTGAAACCCGTAATGTACGCCTAGGTCTTTCAACTGACGGTTTCAATCCATTTGGAAACATGTGTAATCCACATAGCACATGGCCGATCATACTCACCACATACAATCTGCCACCCTGGCTTTGTATGAAAGAATCATCATTCATGTTGACTTTGTTGATTCTACGACCGAAAGCTCCTGGCAAGGATATGGATGTTTTCCTTAGGCCGTTGGTGGAAGAGCTTAAAGATTTGTGGAACTCAGGCGTACGTATTAAAGATGCGACAAGAAACACATTCTTCACGATGAGAGCTATGTTGTTGTGGACAATAAACGATTGGCCAGCTCATAGTAGTCTATCAGGTAGGAGTGGGCAAGGGTATAAAGCATGTGCTACTTGCAATGAAGACACTCCTTCGTACCGTGAAACAAACAAAGTCGTATATATCAGTCATCGTCGTTTCCTAGATGCTAATGATCCGTTAAGAAAGAGGTTTGACTTTAACGGGATGGAAGAGACAAGACTCGCTCCGAGACACTTTAGTAATGATGACATACAAGAGCAACTAGGTCGCCTACTAACTCCTAAACCGGGTAAACATCCTGAGCATGTAGGCGGAGAGCCAAAGCGACAAGATTACAAGTTAAACTGGTTGAAACGAAGCATTTTCTACGAACTCGAATATTGGTATTCTCCACAGTTGAAACACC